AAAAGTTGACCACCCCCCTGGATAGCAAAATTTACTATTTTCAAAATTTTTTATATTTTCCATAATTTAAGAACTCAAGCAATCCATATATAGCAAAACTTACATTTCATGAACAGAATTGTGGAATTGAGAGCAATTTCAAAATTGTCTTACTTTTTTTGATACACCCTGTATATCATTAGTTATTCGCATAATAAATCATATAATGATTTACTGTTATTTGTATATCTAAGTATGCTTTTGTAACGTTTTTACTCATTGATTTTGCCCAACCCTGCCTTTGAAATAGCATATAATAAGTATATGTCAATATATAGCGGTTAACCCTTCAAAATAACACTCTATGCAGTGTACATTGGATACACAAAATCTGTCGCCTCCATTTCCAATCACGTGAAAATGGTCAAATTTTCCCTACTCGAAAATCGGGGTAGTCAGAACAGTTCAGAACAGTCATGTGACTGTCTTCTGTTCCATTCCATTAGTGTTCTGAGAATCCGGAGTACTCCGAACAGTAAATGGAGCAGCTTGCAGGAGGAAAACTGTCGTCGCTGACCAAATTTATCGCGGACGCTTTCTTTTTGTCAGCAAAAATCGTGAAAACAACAAAAACGCAGGTTTCGCTACCCTGTTTCTTGTACTGCAGCAGAGGAAAAACAAAAGGAAGATAGCAGACGTTGAAATGTTGCAATCGGGAAATTAGCAGTGAAGAATTATTCCCTGAAACATGGCCGAAAATGACGTTTTTTGCAAAATGTGTGTTTTTAATGGCAAATAATCTCGAGCAAGAGTGTAATATTGATGGAATATTACTTGAAATGTGCAGTACATGCGTTTGTTGTCCAAAACAAAGTATAAATATTTAGTTTTTGAGTGATACTGTATTACTGTGCGCCAACGGTCGTCATCAAATTTCAGTATGTGAGGTATTTTGCTAAAATTGCTTGTTTTTCATCTTAATTTTCTCATATACAGGTTGTGCCAATAAAATGTGATTAGGTCAGAAGATGTGCTTTTCTTTCCAGTTTTTGTTAATAGAATTTTTATTCGCCTAGAAAATGACGAAAATACTGAATTTTGGCAAATTTCATGTGCGAGTGTAATTTGTAAGAAAAAAGGCGACTCAGAAAATGAGCATCAGAATTAACATTTTGCCCTGTATTTTGCTATAATAGTTTTATAAAACCTAAATATTAATTTTAGGTTTTCAAAGAACTTAAAAAAAGATAAAAATAGCAATCAGACTTTTCTATATGACCCCCATTTCGAAGCGTAAACGTTGTATTATTTTTAAACACAATTTTCGCTCGTTCAAAATTCTATAAAAAAAGAATTAATTTTGTCATGTTACAAGTTGGGCAACGAAATATCGCTGTTTTACGTTAAATTTCAAATCATTTTTGGGACGGTTTCTTGGCTTTGTAAAAAATGTACAAGTGTTAGCATTTTATTGAATATTTTAAAGGGAATTTCTTTGCTCTGTTTTGTTTTGTTTTGCGCTGATATAATCGATATTAATAGTTTAATTACATTGTACAAAATGTGGCAATAGAGGAAATCAAAGTGTTTTGACACTTTAATAGAACTGCATGCTAATTAGTTGATATTAATTATGTCAATTTGGTCACGTGTTGTTTTTAATCATACGATCGAAAATCGAAGGACAAAAGGGAACAACAACTATTTTGACAGCCAAATAATACGATAAAAATGTATTAAAACTTGTACGAAATAAACCTTAGAACATTGTCCGTGTCTTTGTGTTGCGAAGAGTTCACAACAGTCAAAATAGTTGATTAATAGAACGAAATAGGAAGTTATTTTGGGTGAAATATGCCAGATCAATAACAATTCCGAACGCGTTCGAGTAGTGACACGCTAGAAAACAAAGACATCGACCAGTATGGAATGAAGGCGATGTGCCGTGCACAAAGGCTGCTATCGGTGCACAAATTGGTGCACAACTTACCCAATAATCCTTCTTTGGTGCACACAATTTCCTTCTGTTATTGGTGCACAAAAAATTTGTATTTTCACAATGTACGTTATCTATACTATATATTTTTTTAATATCTACTAGTACTATAGTGTGTAACAACTAAATAATTGGTGAATTCAGAAATTCTGACAATCGCTGCTACACATTTGCTACCCCCGCCCCCCGAATCTTAATTTAGAACGTGCACAGGTCATGAACCCGCTGGCTATATGTGCACAACATGTGGTGCACAGCCAAAGTTGCGTTTAAATTGTGCGGTGCACAGAAATGTTACATTCCATACTGGGACATCGAGTGTTAAAGATCGCATCAACGATGGTTAAAATTGAAGAGTTAAATCGGAAGAGGAGTTCGGCGAAGAAAAAGTTCGACCACGAAGTAAAAAGCTTCGAATTTGTGCTAGAAGCTCGCCCGGAAATACATAGTCTTGAAGAGGCTTTTGGCGAAGTCAAGGTAAAATATAAAGCTGTAAGAGAAATACATGATAGAACTAGGAGTTACTATCGCAAGGAAAGTGCTGCCGTTTGGCGACATGAACTGAATGCAAAAGAGTGTACTTCTAGACAATTCTCTAAAGGGAATGCCCAATGACCAATCACAAACTTATTATTAAACAGTGAGTCTGTGTGCACGGAACACGAGTAAACAACCAACATGAAAATGAGGCCATTGGGTCAAAAGTGGATAAACGGCATACCCATTGGCTGGTAATGCACCCTACTTTAGTATTAACTCGTCTAACCCCAGACAAATTTACACTCTGTAACGCCGGACGATTTTACTTGTCAGTGTTAGAGTACTGTCAGTATCAAATTTTTAACAAACCTATCTGCCAATGTCTCTTATTAGCCCCCATTGGCTGGCAATGCGACCTACTTTAGTATTTACTGTGATACTGTCTATCAACGCCGGACAACTTTACTCGTGAGTGCCAGTAAACGGGTTAATTTCTCGTCACGCCCCAATTTAAAATTTTTACGATTTTTATTGTTTCTAATTGTAGATATCTCAGCGAATATACCCCCCCCCCCTTTAAAACGAAAAGCACCATTGTAATCGTGACAAAACATCCTTTACTTAAGGCCTTTTCAACGGGGGGTCAAATGCCTTCAAATCACTGACACAAACCGAAACAATGAATCATATATTTACGAAAAAAAACTTGAATATCTTCCAAACTCTTCATAATTTGCTCAATGAGAGTATTAAAAATCAGCCTTGTATTCAAGCGCTTTCATGTAGAAAGTTTCGTTTGAATACGGCGAGTAGAAATTTTTATTTTGAATTTTTCGGGTCTTTATTCGCACGCGCGCGCCACGTGTATGCTGGAATTTAAGGAAATCTGAGGAATTTTCGAGCTTATTCTAAGGAATTCGAAAATTTGATTGTGAGAGCACTGGATGCACGTGCAAACCACTGCCACTGGGAGTACTTTGACC